GGAGATCGATTTAGGATTGAATGAGTTCGGCACGAAACAGCCACGTCACGAACAGTGATTGTTCTCTCTTGTCCTGCTTCAACGAGCAGAAACGAACGGGGCAAACTCATTCAGGACCAGGTACGCACATGCACACACACAAGTTGAATGATGTACAAACCACAAATAAGATGGCAAAGAGATGGTGTTACCACCAGAGCATAGGGAACTTGAGCAAAACATTGCGTGGATAGACAGACAGATAGATGGGACCTTCCGAACAAGTGTGTGCATGTACGTTGTTGTGTGCTGTGTGCAAGTCTACCGTCTACAATCGGTGTATGCTTGCTAATTCGATTGGGCCGAGGTAAGCAAAGGTCCATGAGGAACAAAGGATGACTGCGCTCGAAAATTCGGGAGAGGACAAGGCTGAATGGGATGAGATGGGCTGGGACACAGGGATGGATGAAGAAAACGTTAGATCAAGTCAACTCGAATAAAGTAAGTAAGCTTGGGATATCAGTTAGACGGGGGCGAAGGGATTGCACGTGGATACAAATACCTGGCCTGTGTTAGGCATTTCTTGTACTGGAATAACGCGTTCGAGAGGCCAGTTGAGATGACGTGATCCATATTCGCTGTAGAGTACAGGTGCAATCACCAAGGCACTTGGACACCCATGTGTCACGCACGTGCACACCACAGGCACACACAAACACACATAAACACATGCTTACGTACACGGGGTCGTGTGTACGAAACAACACAGAAGCTTGGGAACACGTCAGGTGCATTCAGTCCCTGGGAGGAAGAACACTTCTATTTGCCTTGTGCACGTTTGGCCGCGTCGATTAGCACGGCAAGGTTAGATAGAGAACCGGCATTACGGAGGAACGGATCCTGTAACAGATCTTTCGCGCTAGCTCTTTGATCCGGATTGACCACCAAGCACCGATCGAGAAATTGTTGCATGGACCGATCGATATGTTTGGTTTTCGGATGTGGTTTGCCGTTGGCTTGAATTAACATGATTGCCTGATTGTCGAAGAACGTCATTCAAAACACACACGCACGCGGAGCACGGGGGGGCGGGGGAAGTGAGAAGAGATGAGTGAAAATCTCAACTTCGCCAAACTGACAGAGCATAACAACTACTTGTGATTAATGGTACAATTCTAAATTGCGACTATGCAAAGTTACCGAAAAGAATGCTCATATGGACCTAATCGGATGCAAACTGTTTATTTCTACCAGACAGAAATGGTAAAGCGGAAACATGAAAGCGATCAGATTAGATGGAAGAAAGTCACATGCAATTGCATTTAAGAAAGCTATCACTCTGAGAGAATTGTGCGCTACACCGATTGTAAAGCGTTATTTGGTTCGTGAACCGAAAGTCCCTGTTAGTCACCAAATCATGACGTATATCACAGGAAGTAAAGGAAATCCATTGGAAGACGTGCGCTGGATGTGTTCTGACGATAGAAAACGGAGCATCCAGTTCAATGCCTCATTTTGACTAGGGTACGTTTTATACCTCTAAAATACGTTGGGTGAATTAGGTTTTCAGGTCAGGCCCGAGCAATACCTATCCGAATCCCGATAACTCACGAGTATGTCTATATCACACAGCGAGTCTAATGAGACAATGGGATAAGCAATGCGGTTAGGCAAACAGATTTAGGTGATTGCTGTCTAGCACTGACGCAAACACTTAACGTCCAGAAATTGCGGTAATTAGAGGCACAGTTCATACATGGCACTAGATACACTTCTTCAGTGTGAGAT